TACCCAGACCTCTATCAATGGATCTTCCCCCCCTCCCTCCCTACCTCCCTCCCTCTCCCATCCCTTCTCTCGCTTAAGCCATTTTACTGATTTTGGTTTCCAGAGTTCCAGTTTTATTAAGTCCAAAATTCACAAAACAAAGAAGCATATAACTGTGTTTAAAATTCCTTGAAGAGCAAGTAAAATACCTTAGATTGAGACCTGAAATTAGACTATTAGTGAGACAGGGGATTAGAACTATGATTCGTCACTAAATAAAGATGCTCAATCTTTTTCTACTACGTTAGTCTGTTATCATTGCTCTGTCTGCAAATAGAGTGAAAACAAAAGAATACACTCTATTGGACAAACCAACTGTTCCTAATTAATTTTAACTGTGACAGCTCCTCCCAAATGCTGAACATTCCAAGCCATTTTTGAAAACTGTTAAATCTGCTCAAGGAAACAAAGATTTCCTGAATATACTGGACTGTAACTGCAGGCAAAAAAGAAAAATATCATTATTGTGCCTTTCCCATAGTAGGAACTCAAATGATATGTCATGTTGAATAAATACTCCTTTTCTGCTTCTGAGAACATGTTATAATTTTCACACTCTGCCCTGTATTTACCATCATAACTGTTAAACCAGACTGCAAAGGTGATACCCATATTAACACATACTGTCTACTTTAATGAAATTGAAAATAAACACCAAAAGCTTTAATTATGGGAGATTTTTTCCCTCCAATTTCCAAATTTTCTGTAATGCAGTTTTATCACTCTTGCAATTTAAAAAAAGCATTAAAAAAAAGTATCCTTATAGCATGTATTGTTTTTGATCAAATATTAAGACTTTTAATTAAGTCCCATTCTAAAGGCTTTTTTATTATTAAAAAAAAGAATCCTTGCTAAATTAAAACAAGAAAACTTCAGCATAAAGCTGAACTGATAGATGATTACTTAAAATACTCATATTATGCCATCTTTCAATAAAATAAAACCTTCCTCATCATCAAGAGCAGTACTTGTACGCCCACAATTGTACTGTCAAAAAGCCAGGAAAGGTACTGGAGATTCAGAGGCAAAAGATAATGCTTCCCTACTCAAGAAGTTTAGTACCTAATTAGGAAAACAAGGCAAATACTGGAAAAAAAGAATAAAAAATACAAGGGAGCAATGGATATGCCGAGCATGTAGTACACAGAGAAGTACAGTGGACAGATTTTGAAGTCGTACAGACTTTGGTTCAAATCTTAGATCTATCACTTACTAATTTATGCAAATTATTTCCCTCATTTGTAAAATGGAGTGTTAGGTTAAGTGAAGTAAAATTCTTGGCATACAGTAACACCCAAAGGGAAGCTAATAGTATTATTATCATTATTATTAGAGATACAGCCTTAAGGAAGAAATGGGCAATCAGCAAAGTTTAAAAAGAGGAAGCATTAATATCTTTCTGTAATCTACCACCATAAGCAAAAATCACAAGAGCTTTCTCACTCAAGTTTTACTTCTTATTGACAAGAATAGAATACCCAGAGAAGAAAACTAAAATTAAAAAACACTAAGGCTGGACTTCCCTGGTGGTGCAGTGGTTAAGAATCCACCTGCCAATGCAGGGGACATGGGTTCGATCCCTGGGCTGGGAAGATCCCACATATTGCGAAGCAACTAAGCCCGTGAGCCACAACTACTGAGCCTGCGCTCTAGAGCCCACGAGCCACAACTACTGAAGCCCACGCACCTAGAGCCCCTGCTGCACAGCAAGAAAAGCCACCACAATGAGAAGCCCGCGCACTGAAACTAAGAATAGCCCCCGCTTGCTGCAACTAGAGGAAGCCTGCATGCAGCAACCAAGACCCAACGCAGCCATAAACAAATAAGTAAATAAATTTATTTTAAAAAAAACCACTAAGGCTATATTGCACTAAAGTACCATATGAAAGTCACCACTAGATTTCCAAATCATATAATATGATCTATAAAAAGAATGTTCTTTGGAAAGGTCCTTAGATCAGCTAATTCAAACTCTCCAACTAGAATGGAAGCTCCATGTTTTTTTTGTCTCCAAGCTCCAAGAACTGCCATCTAGTTTGTTCATTAGTATATCCTCAGCACCTAGAATAATTCCTAGTACATAATTAATGGTCAGTACATATTTGTTTAATGAATATTAAAACTAAGAAAACTGAGGCCTGGAGACTTAATGCCATACAGTTAGCTCCTGGAAGAGCTGGGAATGAAACTAATATTTCATTATTCTAATAGTCTATCCTGTCTAGAAGCTAGACCATGATAATTTACATAATTTATTTTGTTGGTTGGGGAACTGTAGGGTTGGTTGGCAGGCAGAGGAAAGAGGAAGGAAAGAGTAAACTAAAATATTTTTCAGGTGTTTTTCCCCCAACTGTCAGTTTTGCTTAGTTGATAAAGGCAAAAAAATATATACAAGACAATCCCAGTACAGTACATAGCACATAAAAGGTACTGAACAAACATTGGTTGAATGAATGAACCTACTCCAAAACCATTATCATCTTATGATCAGAGGCAGAAACTAACTTCAGCATCAGTTTAATCTTTGTAACTGTCATACAAACCTTCAGAATTTTCAGCCATTCATAAGACAAACAGTTACTAATCACTTTCTTCCAGATGGGCACTGAGGGAAACAGATGAGTTGAAAGATGTCCCTGCCCTGGAGGATCTCACTTGAGTATAGCTATGTCTAAATGTGTGTTGGGGCAGGGGGGTGATGGTGACATAAACAAATCAATAATGAATGTGAAACCAGGGTGCACTGTTATCTCAGTTTATTTGCCTCAAGCAGTTAAAAAATTAAATTAAAAAACACAAATCAGCAAAGTTTTTAAATAACAAGGAGGCACATTAGGGTATATTAACACTTGGGAAGTTTCTTTTTCCTGTGCCTTTACAATATACCTTATTGCCTCTTAATGTCTTAAAATCAAAATATTCTAAATTGACTTATTTGGCTATTCAATATAAATGAACCATCAGTGTTTGTTCTCTTACATGTAAAACAATGAAGGATAATACTCCTGATTCAGTATTTACTTTGTGTAGATGTTAATATTTAAATATATAACCACAAGAACATATTTAAATTACTTAACTGTCTATAAAATTGACAGAGCCTGAAGAAAATATCCAGAGATGATAGTAAATAGAAACTGAAAACATGGTCTTACCCAGGGAGAGAATAAAGTATGCACACAACTAAGAAGCAAATCTATAGAAGTCCTCAGGGGAGGAGAGGGGAGAACTTCAAGAGGGGAGAACTCCCGCTGGAATTGGACAACAGAGCCAGAGAGCAACAGCCTGCCAACAGGATCTTGCTTAATGCATATCACTAACTAGACTATTAAAAAGTGAACACCCAAAAGTCAATGTTGCCATTCCCCGAATCTGAGTTTTCAGGAGGACCCTTCCAAAGAGATTCGCTACCAAGATTAAATCACCATTTTCCAAGTACTCTTCCCCAATATCTGCTTGTCAAAATAGGATAAGCAACACCAAATAAACTGGAAAAGAAACAGACTTCACTTATGAAGCTGAAAATTCCTGCAAGCTGAACTTAGTTATCTTACCGGAGGCACAAGTTATTAACGTGATTCCTGGTTCCTGTGGAGAACATTTTTCACTCAATATCTCTATCCTCGAATGCTAGGCAAAAGACCCCCAAAGTCTCTTGATCCCAACACAGGAAACTCTCCCGCCCCAATGTATAGCCTATCCCAGTGTTCTGCCTTAGATGCCCTGACAAATCCAGGCCAAGGAGACTACAAGGTGGCGGGGAGATACTACAGGGCAGGCAGGAAGGCTGGGGTGGGCCCCAACGGAGAAGTCCATGGCCACCAGCTCTGCAGAGAACAGGCTGAGAAGGTGAGGTTGGGGTGAGATCTGGTCAAAAAAGCAGGAAGGGACTGACAGGTGCACATCCCCCTCACCATTCAGGACACCACAGGAAGATTACAATTGGCTTTCTTTACAGAGAGCGAGGAACAAGGCTCCCAGAGTGATGCTGAGCGGTTTTCTGGGAAGCACGAGTACTGACTCTGAAGGAAGCAGAATGGCAAGAGAAAAGACCCTGAGAACAGGTTTTGGTGAAGATTCCCCCAGTACACGTGACCTCTTACGTCCTTCCCAGCACCAAGACTGGTGGGACCATCACACCTGTTCAAGGATGTTTCCCTGTTTTCCGCTTGGACAGCGATAGAGAGCCCACCGGGTAGGAGTGGTAGCAGAACTGAGGAGGAAAAGACTGAATAGGGGGATCTGACCCAGCAGGAAACCTGATCAGGAGGGGAAGAGGCTGAATCCAGGAAGGGGCTAGCAAGGTAAGTACGCGCTCTGGTAGAATGAGACTTAGTGGAAGAGAGACTGACTGGAGAAAACTGCTGGAGAAGGGTTTTCGTCGGACTCCGCTGGGAAAAGGCCGGTTTAGAGAGGAAAGACTGGCTTGGAGGCAACCCTGAGCGCCTGGCTCAGGAAGGTGACTCTGCCTGTCCCGAGGGCGAGCCTCGTGTGGGACAAGGGCTGACCCGAGGATGAGGCTGATCCGCGAGAGCTCAACAGGAGCTCACCTGGGTGCTTCTGGCCTGGAAGGAGGAAACTTCCTGGGTGGGTGAAGCAGAACTGGAGTGAGAGGAGCGGGCACACACCAAGCGGGTCGGGGGGCACGGCGGGGTCGGGAGGAGAGGGCGCCGCGTGGGGCGGGGCTGCGGCGCCGACCGGCCGGGGCGGGGTCGCGGCTGCCGCGGCTGAGCTACCGTCTCGGGATGGCGTCCTCCCCCAGTCACACTCACACTCTCTCTCTCTCACACACACACACACACACACACACACACACTCACACGCGCGCGCGCTCGCTCTCAGTATCGGCCGCCCCGCCAGGGGCAGAGAGAAACTGCCCAGGTCGGTGAACCATAGGACGGTGGGGGAGGGGGCCGGGGACACCGGCCGTCCGAGCCAGGCGGACTGGCGGGTGGCGTTACCTGTGTCAGAGAGAGCTGGGCCGCCGCAGCCATGGTGTTTCCATCCTGCACGGGAGGGGAAGGAAGGACTGGCTGACGGGGGCTCGGGGCGGGGAAGAGGCGGAGGGAGCAGCCGGAGGCGAGGCCCGGGCGGGCAGGCGGGCGGGCGTCTCCCCTAACTTCGACAACTTCCCTCCTCTCGCCCGCCCCGCCCCGCCTGGCCCCGCCTGGCCCCGCCTGGCCCCGCCCTCTGGGCGCAGGCCGCGGCGGCGCCCAAATCCTGGCGCCGGAGTTTTTGTCGCCGGACTGGATCCTCCGCTGGGGCCGCCTGAGAAAACCCGGCGCGGAGATGAAATTAAGCACGAGCTGTGGAGGCAGAGACAACTCCAGATTGTCCTGGGAACTTTAATCAAGTCACCTATCCACTCTAAGCTTCTGCTTCGGAAGAATGGGGGAAATTATACCCAAAGTCCAAGTTGCTTGTGAGGACTAAATGAGATAACGATAGGAAATAATAGCGGTACTTTACATATGCCAGAATCTGTGCTGGATGCTTTATTTTTAAATTGTATAAGTGAAGGAACCGAGACATAAATAAGTTGTTCAAATGAGGAAACTGAAACACAAATATGTGTCATACGTAAGGTCATAAAGCTGATTATATAGCTGGTGGATTAGCATCCAGGTCAGACTCCAATACTTTTCATTTTAACCATTGGCTATTAGGAGGTCATATCGAAAAAGACTCTTAAATGAAAATCTAGGTGGGAAGGGGAAAGAATACTCTCCTAGCCCACTTTCTGCCTGCCATATTCAGACTGTTCAATAAAAGAGCTCAGGGGCCTGCACCACTCCAACTCCTCCCTTAAGTCCACATGGCAAACCCCTCCTGCTTTCTCAAGACACAACTCAAGTATCACCTTTGCAAAACATCTCCTGACCTCCCAAGTCAGAGTTACACACTCTTCTTTTTAACATTTCTTCTCTACCTTATGAAGTCATCATCACTCTAATGACTTTACATCTGTCTACCCACTAGACTGAGAGCTCCTCAATGGCAGGGACTGTTTCTTATATATTTCTATATCCTCAGACACTAGAATGCGTTATGTACTCAGTAAAAGGCCTTAGTTCCTGCCAAGTTAAACATAACACAGCCTACACTTTCTCATGCTGCCGATCAGTTACTTGAAATCCTCATCCTTAAAGGCTTGGCTTATATGCCACCTACTTCAAGAAACCTTCTAGGAAATCCCACCCCACCTCTTAGTTGCTCTGATATGATCCTTACACTCTGCCTTGTTTTTAAGAGTTAGTTGAGGGCTTTTCTATACCCCCACTAGATTGTAAAATCCATCAGAATAGAGGGCTGACTCACAACTACACCCCTCTCACAATCTGGCCTAGCACAGAGTAGGCCTTAATAAATGTCTTTGCCTGGAATGGGTCTTCCTTTCTCAGTCATGGTGGCTTCCCACAGCAACAAACCATAACTCTATCAGGCCCACACCCCTGTTAGCATTCTTGTAGTAGTCCCCGTTTGACACACAGGAGGGCCAACTGAACAAGGCCAAGGATGGAGTTAGCCCCATGTAAGGTTTTAGACCTTTACCACCACAGGCAAACCATCCCAGAAATGCCCTCAGAAATTCCTGACTGTACTCAGACCCCATTTTTACAAGGTCCAGCCAACAAAGAGCCAGCCATGCAGGTCTGGTGAGCAACAACTTACTCAAGAGAGTCTCCTTTGGCCTCTTTTTGCTGTTATTCTTTTTAACTTAAGGGAGAAGGGAAAATAATGTTTTAAATTACTCCTTTTCCACCTGGTACATTTATCAGCTATAACTACCACTGGTGTTTCTACTTTAATTTTCTAATTTATATTATCACTTTTGAACTTAACAACTATGTAAGGTAGTAATCATCATACCCACTTTACTGATGAGGTAACTGAAGGTCATAGACATTAAGTGGTTATACAGCCAATAACCAGCCAATAACAGCCAAGGTTATACAGCCAATAACCAAAGCAGTATACCATAGTGGAATAAACAGGGCTTGGACATCAGAAACATCCAGGTTCCAATCCTGTCTCAACTATTTAATACTTGTACAACCTTAGGGTTATTGTGAGGATGAATGAGATAACATGTATGGAAATACCTAAAGATGTAGATACATGGATTTAGTTAAGAAATCTTAAAGTCATGGAATAAATTGCTACTGGGAGTACAAATTCGCTTGCTGTTCAAGGAAACTCCTCCAAACCATATTAGAGCAGGTTTGGGCCTTGGTTAAAATAATAATAACGATAATCAGACCCCTAAGCAAGGGAAGACTACTTGTATGGGAATTGCCCCAGGCTCCCTTCCAGACCACCAATAATTTGTATTGGCTACCTTCTTTGCTCATTGGTTCTGGTTTAAATTAAAAACTTGACATAGTGGGGGATGGGAGTGATGGTCTAAACTCTGGAAAAGGCCTAGAACTTCCAGGACTGGATGTTTTTTTAGATGACACACCAATGAGAGTTTGCAAATTCGTGTCCCAGATCTCATCAAAGCACTGGGTCATATCCCAGATCTATTTTAGGAGGGTAAAATGTAGCTAATGGAAGATATGTTATGATCTAATTCATTGTGAAAAGAATGAGCTTCATGGAGCAGACAAAAAGAACTTATCTGTTTTTTGTAGGGCAACTTAATGTCTCTGGGTTTGTAAGCTTCATATTCTTCATGTGTGCATTGGAGGTAATAATACCTACCTTGTAGGGATGGTATAAGGACTAGAAATCATGCATAAATGTCTTATCAAAGAGCCTGGCCTGAAATGGGTGTTCAGTAAGTGGCAGTATTAATATAAGGATACCATTTTTTTTTGATGTGGACCATTTTTGAAGTCTTTATTGAATTTGTTACAGTATTGCTTCTGTTTTTTGTTTTTTTTTTTTTTCCGGTACGCGGGCCTCTCACTGTTGTGGCCTCTCCCGTTGCGGAGCACAGGCTCCGGACGCGCAGGTTCGGCGGCCATGGTTCACGGGCCCAGCCGCTCCGCGGCATGTGGGATCTTCCCGACCGGGGCACGAACCCGTGTCCCCTGCATCGGCAGGCGGACTCTCAACCACTGCGCCACCAGGGAAGCCCTGCTTCTGTTTTTTTTTATGTTTTGGTTTTTTGGCCACGAGGCATGTGGAATCTTAGCTCCTCTACCAGGGATTGAACCCACACCCTCTGTGGTGAAGTCTTAACCACTGGACCACCAGGGAAGTCCCTATAAGGATACCATTCTTCAACATCACCATTTAACTCTCTACCTGTCAAACAACCCTCCAATTACTAAGTCAGTTTTGCAGATACATTAACTATTAGAAAGGAGTGCTTTGAACAGCTGACACATATATCCCTGTCATTGTTTCCCTAGGTAAAGTTGTGTGCGATGACTTACTTCTGCATACTGATAGCCAACAATTGCTGCTCTCATGTACATTATTTCATTTAATCCTCACTATAGGGGTTATTATTAATTTTATTTTACAGAAGAGGAATTTGTCCAAATTCATAGTGACAAGGCTAGGAATTATACATAGGTGTTCTGATTCAAATGTGCTTTTTACTAGGGCATATTGCTGGTGTCCTGCAGACATTGATCACTCCCAAGAAGACTTCATAATACGGAGCTTTTGACCATGGAAACCTGAAGATGAGGCTATGGATTTATAGTAATCCTAAACCCAAGATGATCTTGAAGAAGAGAACTTAGATCATGAACAGCTTTGTCATCAGCCTATCTTTCCATCTTTCTATCCTACTCTAACTCCACAGCCCCTCCCCAATCCACCCTTAAGAGAAACCACAGCTACTTTTATTTATTTTCCAACTTTGGGAGGTGACTGTCATATCAGCTCTTCATGAACACTGCATGTCTGTGACGTCAGCTTTTAGAAATGCAGGCTGATTGATCGAAACTATGGGGGAAAAAAACCTGTGAGGAGCCCTCTGAGTATACAAAGAACCAGTTTATTGGCATGAGACTTTGAGATAGCCCTTCTATATAAATAGTGCTAAGCTACAAAAACAGAAAAAAAATTATACTACAATTGTAACGGTAATCTGGAGGTCATGCTTCCAAGCTGCTGGTTTCATAAATACAGCCCATTATTGTTCATGTTTGCACAGGGCAGAAAAAATATGTGAGGCTGCACAATAACAACAATTGTGCTACACAAATAACTGTCGCTGTGCCAGGGACTGGAAAGAACAAGCAGTAAGAGATTTTTAAATGCCACACACACCCAGGGTGTGATAGCACATTTCAAAATTGTCGTCATTGCTAATTTTTCAGGGCAAGGGGGTGTCCTGGGAAGAGCCTGAATTTAGAACTGGGAAGACCCAGCTTAGTCCAACTTCCTTATTTTGTGGCCTTGGACAAGTCAAAGAACTATACCAAGCCATGGTTTCCCCTCCTTTAAATTGAAGGTAATACTAGCACCTACCCGATAGTGCTATTATGATGATTAAATGAGGTTTCACGTGAAAGCAGTTAGCCTGATACCTGGCACACAGCAGACACTATATAAGCGTTAGCTCCTACTGGAGAATATTTAGGATTTCAGAAGCCAGAAACAAAATAGAAATCATTTTTAAAGATCTTCAGTGAGACCCTTAAAGGAACCTGAATACTGAAAAAAAAAAAAAAAGGCCTACCTTAAAGTTTTTTTGAATAAAATTTATTCATTTATTAGTAATGTTTATTGAGTTCTGTAGAGTAAGGGAGATTATTACATTTATGTCCCGAAAGTTCCACTGGCTTGTAGCAAGCAAACAAATACAGTTTTACACTTGTCCTATTTCCTTCCTTTTTCTTTCTTTTCTCTTTTTTTTTTCTTTTTCCTTATGAAGGGTCCCAGAAGCTATACGAAACAAAAAGAACACCATGGGAAAGAAAATATTTACACTCAAGGCTGCAGGTCCTTTCATCTGAAGATTTCAAAGAATTGTCTCCATAACTAATTACAAGTCCTGCTTTAACATGGGGGAATGCTGAGACACCATCAAATTAAGAAGCTTGCCCTAAATCACAAGGCAAGTCTGCAGATGGGCTACAGACAGAACAAAGCTGTCCT